ACTCGAAAGATGCTGACATCTCACTAGTATAACCTTTTAACATTTGATTTTCATTTCTACTTTTTCTGCTGTCAAATCGAGTGATCCACACAAAAAAAGGAAATAATTAAGAAAATGACAAAATGTGAAATTAAGGGTAATATTGATATGTTTTTCCTATTGCCGTAATACATTTATTCAATCTATTTTTGTTAATTACTTCAATCAAAATGTCTTCGTAAAAAAAGAAACAACTTAATGAGTTAATTAATGTCTTACTATAGTTTTATAAACCTTATAAACAAACTCATAAAACCAAATCATGAAAAACTAGAAATAGATGGAACATATTGGGTCCTTAGATTAAAAAGAAAACTCATTAAAAGTGGTAATGTCACACCATGGAAAAAAGGGAAAATGTGTACTAAAAAGTGATTACAATTATTATTTCAACAACAATGAGAAATTTATAGATTATGGAGAGATTGCAATTACCGAGGCTAAGCGTGGTAATATTACACCATTCAATAATTTGATTATTTTAATCAAATATAACATGGTTGTTATAGTAATATTTGTAAATTAGGAAACGGTGGATTAGGTATAAATAATTAATGGAATTAAATGATACTTTGGCAGATTCTATTAGGCATTAGCACGTGACAAAGCTTTAGCAAAACCTGCTTTTTAACTCATGCTTCCATTTCTCTAGTGGGCCATTTTAATCATGCGCTATATGTATACATCATATAGTACATAGTTACGGAATATACAACTCTCTCCCATGTTATTACATTCTAGTGATTCAAATTATATTGTTTTTAAAAGAATTTCGAGTTTTTGACTATTAAATGTTTAGATAAGAAAACAAAAACAATACCATGCACATATTTTTACTATTTTTAAGGCTATGTTTTTTTACTCATCCTTGTTTAGTATGCATGCATGTGCAAGCTTAGCATTTTAGACTGGAATATGAAACCATTTTGTTACTGAGCGAATATGATCGCATTATAATAGTTATAATATTTTGATATTTACATTATTTAAAAGAATGAGATATTTAGTAGATACGAATATTAACAAAAATACTCGAACGTGCATGA